TGAAAAGCACCGGATGATTTGTGTGTTGGATGTGCTGCCTCTACATTTCTTGACAAATGATAATTGATAAAGAGTGGAAGTTGTTTTGTATATTATTGCTTACTTGGGAGACTTTTAACATGCAAAGTAAGTAATACATCAGGGGTATGTAAACTTAGTTGCATGTACAATTTTGTTTTGAATCTCATGCCAGGTACATTGTACGTAAAATTATGCTTGGATGACTGATGATGACATTATTCAGGGGTTTGGTCATCCGCGCGCATATTGTAATATGTAATGTACCCGTCAGTGGAAGAAGAAATAGTGCTATTGACTACATTGTTCTTTGCTATTGACAACATATAGAAAAGACAGGGGAAGAGCATCAATTGTCATTGTATTTGATAATCTTTGATCGATAGAGATGAACTTTTAAAGAAGTCTGATTGCTAATATTTATTCTAGGATATTGATTTGTAATTTTAAGAAGGGGAGCCTTGGCGCAGTGGTAAAGCTGCTGCCTTGTGACCATGAGGTCATGGGTTCAAGTCCTGGAAACAGCCTCTTACAGAAATGTAGGGAAAGGCTGCGTACTATAGACCCAAGGTGGTCGGACCCTTCCCTGGACCCTGCGCAAGCGGGAGCTACATGCACCAGGTTGCCCTTTATTGATTTGTAATTTTAAAAAAACAGGAATTGACTGCTGATTATTGGTTGCTATTGATACGTATTGCTATGATGGCTGATCTGAGTGATGCTTCATAGTACAACCTGGCTAAAAAGTAAGGTCGGCAAAAGTATAGCTTTGGAATAATTAATGTATGATAATATTTGGTGCGACTAAGATAAATATAATTAAAATATGTGAAGAAAAAAGCTTGAGTGGGGTGATGTGATTGCTTGTGTAGAGGAGACAAGTGTAAGGCAATATTTTTCCCAACACAGTCATAAGCCGCATGCTACGTCGATGCTTGTAAATTATAAAGTTGTTTTGATCAATATTTGTACATATAAATTAGTTTTTTCCGCGGCAGTAGGCTCTCAACGAAATGGCTGACAAACGCTTACCAACATGGACAACGGCCACAACGCACTCGCGATATGGGTGACCAAGCATTTGCCAAGATGGATGACTACCGTGCTCTGGAGGACGTCCATAGGCTAACGGTCGCCAAAACATACGCAGGGGCGCAATAAGACGAGGTTGGCGATCATTCCCTCGAGGACGACCAAGCGTTGATAGTCGAAGGCTCTAACCGCGCCTTCAAAGATGACGGTGAGGACCGAGGACAATCGGTCACACGCCATCACTCTTTAAATATTGTTCAATCACGTAGCAATGCACGGGTATTTAGCTATATTATATGTTTTTGAGATATAATGCTTATGGTAAGACATCAAAGAAATATTTAGAATTGCCGATGAAGGTAACCTGGAACATTGATTTAGTAAACAAATATGCCCGGCCATCACATCAAGGAAAGGTTCCATAGACAACTCCAAGGATTTCCCAAACTATAAAAATAATGTGCAACGCAACTCAGAATCAAAACATACCCTTTGATTCAGACTTGTTGCTCCCATCCCCTTTCAGGACCTCCTTCTTCTCCTTCAGGAAATCTGAAACAGTAAGGGCCAAATGTCAACACAGCCACCAACTAAAGTGGATCAAAGGAAACCCAAAACCAGGAAGAAAGCTTACTCTTTTTCGACTGGTAAGAGAACAGCCGCCGGGACTGCGAGTTGGCGAGCAGGAATCTCCAGTTTCGGACCTTGCCGGCCCCGTTGGCCGACGAAGCCCGGCTCCCAAGAGTAGACGTCAGGTAGCAACGCATGAGACACGGACCCTGAGCAGATAATCCTAGAGGACTGAATATTGCACAGAGTGAGGTGATGCACATGCCGATGAACCGAATTGACGGGGAAGAGCAGGCGGTGGGGTCGGAGAGGGAGACTAATCTGTACCGGGACAAGCAAGCGAGCACGCGGGAGATGGTGGAGAGACTCATTGCGGCGACGGTGACGGTAGCGGCATCAGGAGGAGAGGGAGGGGGCGGCGTCCCCGAACGAGCATACCGAGCTCGAGCGCCTCCTCGGTCACTTCGGCGACCGGATTTGAGGAAGGAGCAGGGAAGAGCATGGGCTTGCAAGTCCCGCGCCCCCGCGTCTGCCTCCGACAGATGCTCCCGCGACCGGATTCGACCATGAACGGGATGAAGAGCAGGGGCGACCATGGGAGAATAGGTAACAGAGGGGAGATGTGAGGGGCGGTGGGAAGTGACCAGAATGTGTGGGGGCGGTGGGGAGGATGACTGTGACGTTCTTTTTTCAATATACACGTATTAGACGGTTACCAAAGAGATAGTGAGTGAGTGCAACGTTGTTCAAGTCAAAAACAAAATCTAAAAAAGTTCATTCTTTTCTACGGCGTCCGATTCAGCAGCGTGAGTGTGATTTTTTTTATCGTCGGGACTTGTTACGGTAATATCATTGGATGATTTTTAATTTTTTTATATAAATAATAATTTTATATAAAAATTGATAACTTTTTATTGAATATACTCACTTAGATTCAAAATAATTAACTCTCATTAAGTACAACTTTAGCGGCAATTAATTTGGATCGAAGGGAGTATTTAAATTCCGTAATATGCAGGTCATCTTATGGCCACCAGGGATGCGGGGAAGAGGAGGAGAGCGACACGGGGAGGGGAGTGGATAACGTTTAGAGTGAGAAGACTATGGACTGGCCGTATAGTGATAATAGGTTAGGTGAAAACCTTTTAAAAAAAGTTAGGTGAAAAAAAGAAAAAACAGATTTTATGTTTACAAATAAAAACAGTTGTGTTAGTTTCACTTTTATCTTTATTATGTACTAGCGGCCGGGAAGAAGCACCGGGTCTCGATCTGGGAGGAAAGGGAGGGAGAGAAGGTGAGGGCTAGCGGTGCAGCAAGCCAGATGATGAGAGGGGTGAAGAGATGAGCTTGAGGAGGGGAGCGAGCTTTGTCCATGGCGTGGGTGGGAGCAGAGGGAGGTTCATCCATGGCGTGGCGACAGGGGCCCTGAGCGTGGAAGAAGCACAGGACCCCTACTCCTCTCCTAGCGTGTGAGCTCGTCCGTCGAGGTGGAAGATGACTGTCCATCAATGATGGCGATGGCGACCTTTGTATGATGTTGGTCGCCAAAACCAACCTGCGTGGTGAGTGTGTCGTCCTCCTTGGCCTTCGACAAGCTGGCGCGCACGTAGTGGTCGCCCTGCGGGATCTTCCTTAGTACAGCGATGGCGAGGCCGTCGGTGAGGACATCAAGGGTGTTGCCCGCCGTTGGATGAGTGGAGGGAAGGGGATGGGAGGGGTGGTGGCGGGAGACGAGGGAGCCGGTTGTGCCCGCATCTGATCGTCGTCGGATGAGTGGAGGGGATGGGATGAGAGGGGCGGCGGTGGGAGATGAGGTCGTCGACTGTGGGGGCAAGAGCGGGGGGAATGGAGTGGTGAATCCGCCGAGATCTAGGGATGGTGCCGGAGTGAAGAGAGTGAGTGTGAGGGATACTGATGCTGTTTTTTGGGGGAAGGGGCGGGTTAGCTTGGGTGTTGGTTGGACCGTGCTGGATAGCCGATTTGGGCCTTGGATTGCATCAATGACGTTTTGTCTCTGGTCTCAGAAGGAAAAAAATATTAAAGTATATATTTTTTTATATTTATTAGATATGTTTAGAGTATCACAAAAAAAATCAAAATCTTGAGAGAAGAAACCGAATATACTTGATTTATGTTGGACCGCTTCCGTGTTTTTATCTTCTATCGGACAAATTTCCTTACCCTATATAAATAAATTAAAAATTCTCAAAAAATATTAAAAAATAAAATAAGTTAAGAAATTTCAGATGACATATTATTTATATATCAACATTATAGTTGGTTGTTTGCTCCGAAAGAAATGCAACATCTTTTTTAATAGGTTTGTCAGATGACATATTATTTATATATGACACATTATTTTTTAAGCGTATTAAATAAATCTCAATAATTTATAATAGATTTTTGGTTGGATCATCAGTTTATATATACTCATTGTCAATTTGCTATCTCGTGATCAGTTTTACATTACAAGTAAAGTGGAGTTTAATTATTATGCAATTGTGACTGTGTTATATTGTCTTTACCTGTCAAATTTAGCATGTATCTTTATACGATTTCAGTCTTTAACAAACTATTTCAGAAGCCCGTGGCAACGCACGGGCATTCTACTAGTCTCTACTCCTAATGTCTCATTTGATCACGTTTCGAGTTTTATTTTTGTCTCACCTTACTTGGTTTTTTTGGTACCCATCCCACCCCACCCCACGCACGCAGCGAAAAAACACCCCGCAAAAAACCGCTCCTATCGATCCGTCGAGGACACAGAGCCGCCGTCCTCTCGTGCGATCTCGCTGCCGTCGCCCTCCGATCCGCTCCTCCTCGTTTCCCGAGGATACGCAGCTGGATCCGCCGATGCCGATCCAGGCAGACGCGGCCGTCGTGGATCACGAGGACACCGCCACCACCGGTGCCTCGGATACGTCGCCCGTTGCGGATCAGGATCCCCAGGACGCCGACGCCACCGCGGATCCACTGCCACGCACAGCTCGGGCCCGAGCCGCGATGGGCTCAGCTGTGGCCGCTGCTGCGTGCGCCCTTCGTCTCCAGGCTCGGCGAGCCCCGCCGCCAGCCACCCCCAACCCACACGGAGTGGGCCGCCTCGATGCACGCCTACTACGCGGCCGCCGCCTCCGCCGCCGGGATCCCCTATGCCGCGTGGCCGCTGCCGCCGCAGGCCCAGGTACGCGATGCGATCCTCCTCTCATAGAGCCGCTCCGGAGCCGCAGACCCGCGGCGCGGCGCTAGTGGTGGCGTTGCCTTGTTGATGGCGGGCTTTGAGTTCTGATCAGTTTTCTTTCCTCTTTCGCGGCAGGACGCAGCAGCACGGCCTGGTGGCGGCCGGGCCGGGGGCCGCGTATGGCGCGCCGGTGTCGTTCCTCATGTACCACCACCCTGCGGCGGCGTACTACGCGCACGCGCACGCCTCCATGGTCGCGGTAAATGCCGAGCTCCCCTCCCTCGTTTATATTCTAGCGCATTGGACCTGACCGTACGTTGTGCGTCCGTGTTGTGAAATTGTCTGCTGCATTCTGCTCTGTGCAGGGGGTGCCTTACATGGCCGGCGAGTCTGTCTCGGCGGCAGGGAAAGGGAAGAGGGTGGGGAAGACACGATGTGTCCCTTCTGGCGAGATCAATTTCAGCTCCGGGAGGTATGGCGTGGTTTCTGTGCTTGCATGTGTGCGGTGTGCTCTTGTTTGTCTGTTGGCCGGGTAGGCTGAACTGAAATCAACTGACATGGCTTGCACAGCGGCGATGCCGGGAGCCAGGGGTCATTGGAGAAGGGAGATACGGGCGCCAATCAGAAGGTGCCTCGTTTGGCATTGTCTGGATTATGCTTTTTCTAGCAATATTTGATTGTTAGTTTTGGTTGATCCACAATTTCACGTATGCTTATGTATTCTGTCCAGGGCTCATCATCATCCGCGAAGAGGAGGAAGTCCGGCGCTGCAAATACAGAAGATGGGTTATCAGTTATCACAAACCATAATTCCTGGATACAAGGTATGATGGGTTAGTTTGGAAAGACAATGACAGTACCCGTTACACTTGGTAAAAAGGAAGAAGTGGGCTTGGATTTGTGTCATTGTGTCGGTTCGCATCCTTGTGCGGGCACCATGAGAGTGCTGTAATGGAGTAGTTTGTCTATGTTGGTAGTATGTGAGAATGACAGTTGGCATTTTCAGGTGAATCTCAGGCTGCCACAGTGCAGAATGCTGTAACCGAGCCGCCATTGGAAGACAAGGAGAGGTCTACATCCAAACTGTTGGTTTTGGCACCTGGGAGGGCGGCACTCACCAGTGCTGCACCGAACTTGAATATTGGGATGGATCCCTTGAGCGCTTCTCCATCCTCCATAGTACAGGGGGAGGTGAATGCCGCAGCTTCTTCCCAGAGTAACGCTTCACTGTCTCAGATGGTATAGTTTTCCGTTATGAATTCTTTTCTTCAAAGGAAGGTCTCTGTTTCTTCCAGACCTCCAGCCTCTGCACTGTCATGATTTTTGAGAGCGTGGTAAAATTGGTAATTGTCATGAATGAATAGTAGTTTTCCTCTCATTTTGGAAAATACAAATAGTGCATTTACTTGCAACTTGGTTTTACTTTAGCCCTCTTTTATAAAAATGTGGTGACAAATAGCATGTAAATGTTTTTCAGATTGCATCTTATATGATTATAACAACCATACTTTCCTGCACTTGTTTATTTCCCGGTGAGTGTGTGGCACACTGGCACTAGAAGTAGAGAAATGATAGTTATAAAATTTAGGTTCAACGTTATGGACGTTTGACTGTTAAGTTAGGTCCGCACAACGATCTCTCCGCATGAGAGTGCTCCAGATAGGTTATGCTGGACATAATGTCTGAAACAATCCCCATTTTTGTTGTTTCAGAAATTTAAAGCGATGGCTTCATAGGGAAGTATGCAATCACTAAAAGTTTTGGCCATCTGGGATCATCTCAGGCTTCCAGAATTTTAATTAGAATATACTTTCTACTGGTTCTTGAGCAATGCTGCCTAATATACTTGATTTGTTTTAACTGGACTTGATTACAGTAGGGATGTTTAGTCAAGTGTTCCTATGAGCTATTACCTGCATGTTGCTAAAATTATCTTCTGGGGAGAATATATTTGACATTCTGAACTCAGCTGAACAGCGAAACATATCCAGTTTAGGCAAGTAAGACAACACTGTATCGATTTTCTAGGCCAGCAAATGAATTAACTTAAGATTATTTGATGGTATAAATTAAATTTCACCATTGAAACAGTATACTAATTGATCTCGATTTCTTCTTATGCTACCTAGCAAGAATGCGAAGAGCTAGCCCAGAAGGTAAGTGAGCTGACCGCAGCGAACGGCACGCTTAGATCAGAACTCGGCCAGCTTAAGGACTGCAAAACCATGGAAACAGAAAATAAACAGCTGATGGTGAATGCCTCACCCCTCTCTGGCCATGCCCTTGATGGAAAAGTTATTTTCATAACTCAAATTCTTCTGCTGACTGTAACCAATGGTTTTCTGATTAATGCGGGGTAAAATACTAAGTCACGATGATAAAATGCAGCAGTCAGAGGGCCCTAGCGTTGTGACTACCCTGAGCATCCAGGTCGAAGCGCCCGAGCCGCATCCAGATCGAAGCCCGAGACGTAAATTTTATCCTACCATTAGTTTGTAACAGCCTTGGTCCAATATTATTATTCTTGTTCCTCTCTGGTTTTAGACAAGAACAATAGAGAATCTTAATCCTTCTAATGTCACAGTCCCTGTAGTAGAGCACCTGCTGCCTCAAACTTCAGAGAAGATGTGCACGAATGGCTGTTTGGTCGCAGGTTACTCCAAGAAGAAGTAGCTAGAATGCCCATGTATTGGTGCATACAGATTGGCGATTGGGAGTTTTTTGAAGGTTAGAATTCCAGCATCTCGGCATCTTCATTATCCAATAGATTAGAAAAGGTCATAAGTTTTGACTGTGTGCCCGTTTGAAAATGTATAAGTGTGGATAAATTAATTACATAAATGCTGCAATGGTGCATTTGCTTTTAGATTCCTGTTGTTAACATGGTACAAAGAAGGTATGTGTGCATGCTTAAAAAATCTTAAGATTTGTGAATCTAGCTATTCAAGCATCCTTGAGTGATATATATTTCTCTGTACATTGAAATACAATTAAACAACAAGGAGCTTGTATCAGTGGTGTATACGCTCCAAAATTGCGGTATCTACCTCCCCAAATAACATAAAAAATAAGGTTGGGGGTTTTATGGTGTGGCCGCAAGCCCTTTCTCTCCGCTGCGTCGCTCTCTAGGGGTGGCTTGGGCGGAAACACTAACTGCCGTCACACGCCGCCCCCCTCTCCCTCCTCCCCCATCGCCGCCATCGGTGGGCAGAGCCCATTGGCGGCTGGTGGCGGCGGGATCTGGTTCGCGCACACTCGCGTTGGTTGGGAGTGACCCTCACAGTGGTGTGGCTCGTGGAGCTGCTCTTGACGGAATTTGGAGTTGGTGTAATGGCACACGGCGGGGATTCGCAGCGGAGAGGAGGTGCGCGGCTGGGGCTCGTGGAAGGAGAACGTCTTGGCGCGGTGGCTCCTCCTGGAGGCGACTGTGCGGGACAAGGCGGCAACATAGCGGCTAGGCCATGGCGGCGTGGTGGAGCTCGGCCAGGTGATGGAGGCGGAGGCGTGGGCTGGATGGTCCCGATCTGGGTCGCATGGCCATGGCACAGGCATCTGCTGGGAGTGGCCTGACGGCTGCGATGTGCGGTTCTGACGCCCCTTGGTCAGGCATGGAGTGAGCTCGGTATGCTCTAAGCCGTGGGGATGCTGGTAGATGGGTTATGTGCTTTTGCATGTGCAGGTCTTGGGTGGACCATGACATCTCGGTTACGGTGGCGAAGTGTTGCGGTGGTGGCGGAGTGGTCAACTTGGACGGTGTGGCCCCAATCCGGCGGCGGCGGAGTGGTCAACTTGATCAAGTTGAAATAAAATCATGATATTTCTCCTATTCAATTAATTTGCTCCTACACATCCCATGGTGTATGCATGTCTAGAAAGTAAGGATTTTTTTCATAATTTCATCAAACTCACTATTGAAAAAAACAGTGAATTGAATTTGAAGACGGAGGGAGAGACACCCCATGTTGATTATGAGAGAGAGAGAGAGGGGTTGAGGTAGAGGGAGAAACTTACTGTGGTGCTAAAGGGTGTCGGTTGGTCTATAAGAGGGTGGAGCACGGGTCGCATGAATTTATATTTAACTAGCCAAGTAGAAGGGGAGTCTTAGTTTCTTTTACAATTTAGAAATGGTTGTTAGTTTATTCCTTCTCATTAAATGGTTTGTTTGTTCCTTTTTACCAATCATCTACCATGGAATGTTATATATAAGTTTTTGTTTTTAGTCCAAAGCGATATTTCCTCCCATGTTTTTTAGACATATGCATACATGGTTGCGCATCGGAGGTTGGTGCAATATTAAAACCGGTTGATCATTCCTTTTTATGGATGAATTTTAGAAAAGCAGTCTTACAACATGCGGTGTATTTTCAGACTAAAACTTTGAATTGTAGGGGTAATCGACTCATCTGTTGATATGATTGGGAGGTGGCATGAACAAAGTAAAGCAGAAGAAAGCGAGCTTGGATGATGGGTGGCGGCATCAACCTACAATTGTTTTGTGTCGGTCAGAGCAGGGAAGGTGTTAGGCACGAACCAATCAACTAGGGCTTCTTGCTTTGACTCTCTTGCCGAACTAGGAGAAGTTAGCTCTTGCAATGCAATGATCAAGCTTTTAAGAAATTCTTGCATACATGTCTTTCAGTACTATTTTTTCATGGTTCATCTGTGTATGTCATTTTCATGATGTAGTGATTTTATAAAATAGTTACTTATTAGTTGTAACCATTGTTGTCAGATCAAGTTGGAAGCTTAATCTTCAGCAATGTCTCTTGTAGCTTTACTGTGATAGTAGAGAATAGGACAATGTGATATTGTCATCTACATGGTGAATGTTGCCACTAATATCTCTTTCGGTGTTGTCCAAATTCAAACTTCAGTTTGGAGGTAATGTGCTTGTGCACTGATATGACTTACATTTGAATATGAGCACTTTGGTTTTCAACTCTCAACTAGAGTTGCTCATCTTTCGTAATGCCGGTAGAGTGTAGATGCACAAAATCCATTGGATATTTATGGATGTGAGATCTTACATACATCCTTTTGTATTCATCTTAGTGTCAATTTGACTTGTTATTGAACAAATTACGGTATAGGCAGGAATAAGTATCCCCAGACTAATTTTCAAAATCAGTTCCTGGCCCACTATTTAGGTTCCGTGTAACAGTTATTTTTGAATATTTAACCATTGGATCCGAACCAATGAACGGCTGTCAATATTTCCAAGCGTTGTAAAATTCCTCCTTATTGTATCAAGAAGAAAGGGAACTAAAGTTCAAAAAAAAAAGAAGAAAAGGAACTATATTCGTAGACTGTTGGATGACAATGGTGAATGGAAAGAGGACAATGAGTCTGTTAGGATTTAATTAATTCTATTAATCCCTGCTTTTCCTAACCGAGGCGGTTGCCTCCCATCCCTCTGGTCGTACCTCTTCGGGGGCTATATATATATGTGTGTAAATGTCATCATCAATGAGAACAACTATTCACTTTTACTTGTGTGTCTCCTTATCTTTAGTTTTTTTTCAACACATTATCAGCACGCTCTTCCCTGAGCGACTCGGCGAAGATGAAAGAACTGGAAACGGCACAGCCCTCGACAAGAAGCCCGGCGCTGCGCGATCCTCGACGCGAAGTGAACAGGGCCTCGTTCATGCACAGGCCCTTTGCGGCCAGCGGCGGTTAGCAATGGAATTAGTATACTTTTGGCTCTCGCCATTGCATCGCACGCAGCAGCACGGATGCATCGACATCGGCGTGCGACGCGCTGGGCGCGATCCCTCCCGGACGCGGCCGGTGCGCTGCGGCGGCGACTCAGGCACGGCTCCGGACTCGATCGGCGTACATCAAGAGGAAAAAGGGTGAGGCGGCAGTTACACACCAGATTTGGGAATCGGCGATGGCGGCAAGCACGGCCGATCTCCTCACAGAGATGCGGAATCAGATCCGTCAAATGGACCCGGTTTGCATATCCACTCACTAAATGAATGCATGAATTGATTGGTTTTGACCACGTACTAGTTTTGAATGGATGAACTAACCATTGCGGAGTACTCCCTCCGTTCGGAATTACTTGTCACAAAAATGGATGTAACTATAACTAAAATACATCTAGATACATTCATTTCTTGGACGAGTAATTTCGAACGGAGGAAGTACTAGTCTTGGTTGTTTGCCGACCGGGACGGCGAGCCATCGCGATGGAGCGCTACCGTAAGCACGTCGTGGAAGCGGCGGCCTCAACGCAACGCGCACTGGTCCTCCCGACCGGCGTTGCGCGAGCATGGCCGTCGGCTTGGCCCTCCCACAGTTCCCTGCGCATGCCGCAGATGGTCGCCTCGGCGACCGTGAGGACTGCCTCCAACCACGATGCGGCATGGAAGACCGCGGTGACGCTCCCGAGCGAACGACGCGGCCCTCGGCTCGCATCCGCGCAGATCGGCGGGGCCCGAGGAAATGGCCCTCATCTGACCCGTCAGCGTTGCCCTCCGGCACACGCACGCACGATGCCCTTGACGCGACGGTGACCTTGACGGCACCGACCCACTGGAGGCACGGCTAGCGCCAGTGCGCGTGGTGGCCCCTGGCGTCAATGCCTCTGCTCCCGGCGGTGACGTGTCTGGCGCATGCGGCGACCAACGGTCTGCATGGAGCGGTGCCGCCCCCTGGTAAACCGGCGCGAGGGAGCGACGGCAGTCGGCTCCAACCGGCAGTGCCTCCTAGCGCGCGATACCGCCGACACCCCCAGCGCCACTATAGGCGGTATACGGCTGACGGTGGAAACAGTCACAGGTACGGCACAGGCTGCGACGCCCTCCGGTGCTCAGCTCGCGGTGCCGTGTCCTCGACGTCCCGGTGGCGGCCCTAGCAACCATAGTTTGCATCCTCGCGATGCGGCGGTGCTATGACCCCGAGCGCTCGGCGCACCTCAGCGCTGCCTGAGGTCACCCGCGGCCGTCCACGGCATGTCACAACATCGCCCACGGCACACCCCCTCCTGCGGCGGCAACGGCCAATGGTCCAGGCCAATATTTACCCAGCTTTCAAATATTTCGCTAATTGGTTCTGTTAACAGTGCTATTTACTAGCATTGATTTGTTTTAGACCTTTTTCAGTATTTGTGCCTTCAAATACTGTAATCTCTGTTGAGTAATGTGTACTCCAGAAGAAGATTGTGATGTAAATAATTTCCATGTTCACGACATGTTCAAATTATTTACCTTCACTATTTGCAATTGAGATTTTTAATCTCTTGCAAAGTATATTCAGTACATTTATAGTACTGTTTTTCTGCGGAGTACGATGCATTCCGGAATCTTTCTAAGATGTATATTTTTTCTATGTTCGCCACGTGTCGAGATTAATACGTTTATTTGCAATTGAGATTTTCAATTTCTTGCAAATACATATGCAAAATTCTTAGTGATTTCTTCAAATTGATGTATTGAGATCCCAAGGTAGTGTGTAGATCTACTGCTTTGCAGATTATCACCACTACTATTTAAGCCTATATTTTGTCATATTTAACATTATGATTGCACAACATTATGCTCTCCCATGCATTTTACTAAGTCATAACATAAGACATTATGAGTGAGTATCTACTGATTTCATCAGATTATACTCCCTAATGCTACGAGATCTACTCCCTTTCAGAGATTATCTTCCAGATGTCATAC